CCTCCCATGCCCCCCAAATTGCCGCCCCCCATCCCAAAGCCCAGGTCTCTGCCCCACACCAAAGCTGCCTCCCTCTGGGGAGCAGGGGGACGGGCCCCACGGGGACAGGGGCTCGAGAGGCAGAGGAAGGAGCCCCGAGGGGAGGAAGGGGCCCCAGGGCGCTCCCCTTCACAAACACACGCAGACACGGGCCCTGTAAATACATTTCATTTTTTTTAATTTGGACGTTGATAGCTCTGCAAAATATTTCTTCCAGTCCCTTTTCCATATTCCATCCATAAATATACGAATTCTTCGGCCAACTTAGTTTAAGGAAAAAAAAAAAAAATCACAACCTTTTCAGAAGACTCCAACACCCATTTTCTTACTTCCTCTCCCCAGTCTCACCTGGTTCGTTACCTCTCACCACAACGCAATGCACTTAACAGCTCTTTGTAGCTTATCAAACAATTCGAAGAAAAATAAAATTAAAATAAATCAAGGCTTTAGAGAAGGAAGGTTCTGCACGCGGAGAGCCCCTTCGGCTGCTGCAGCTGGTGGGTTTGCTTCAAGACCTGCCACGAATCCGGGGCGCTCGCCCTGCGGAGGRGCATCGACCTGGCAGCTTTGGGCACCAGCCGAAACGCGCCTGGAGCTGGCCAAAACGAGGGCACAGGGGGAGGAACGGGCTCCTCGCCACCCCTCTCCCAAAACACCAAGTCTCAGCGGCTCGCAGACAAACGTGAGGGGATTTTTGGGGGCAGATACAGGTTTTAAATAACCCCTAGACGCCTCCTAAGCTGGTTTCCGCTAGCGACCGCAGCCGAACTTGAGCTGAGCAACGCCGAGGACCTGAGCGCGGCACGGGCGCCGCGGCAGCCGCGGGGAGCCGAGGAGCCCCTTGGCGGCACCACCAATATTGCACACAGCTCCGGGGTATGTAAACGATCCGTGGAGCATCCACGTGGGCAGAGCGCCCTTCGGGAACCGTCCTGGGGAAGACGCGTCCCTTCTCTCAAGAGCACCAGCAGCTTCAGTCTCAAAAAACAGGACGTCTCCCAGGACCACTCGGTAGGAAGCACCTTCCACCAAAAGGTCTGAATTTCCACGAGGGGAACAGAGTAAAGAGTAAAGGTGGGATCTGTTTCCACTCTCTTACCAGCTGTTCTGCCTCACGCCAGCCCCAGAGAAGCCTCTCGCCTCCTCCGGGCCCTTCTGCCTTCGAGCTGCTCTGCAAACCTCCCCGCAACGACCACCGCAAGCGCCCGCGTCCGCCGCCAGCACCRCGCACCAAGCAGGTCTCTCTCCACTTGTTCTGGGGAAAAGGAGTCATCTGCGATGAAGAGCACGCGAGAGTTGGGTGCTTTCAATACTGCATCATCAGCCCGGCCGCCTCTCCAACGATATACATGGGATATATATGGGAATATATGGAACGGGCTCACCGAGACCTGAATACTTTCGTGTTAAGGCTTAAACTAGGAATTCAGCGGCTGCGATATTCCGGACAGACACACTGCAAAAAGGAAGAAAGTTAGTTAAAAGGAAAACCAAACCACCTTAGCACTAGGTATGCAGAGGGCTTTGCTTTCCTCCCRCGGGCAGCAAACCAATTCCCATCGCCTGCCCGCTCGCGGCGCGACACAAGCCTGCTTCAAGGGGGGTGCTTTTAACAGCAAAAAAAAAGAAGAAAAAAAAGAGAAAAATGCAAACTAAACTCTCACAGAAGCCCTGCAGGTGCGACTGTCACATTAAACATACAACTGAGGCCAACTTTTAAAATGACTTTTAAAAAATCTGCACGCGCATACACACACTCACACACTTTGGCACACAAGCCTTAAGTTATATTACTTGAAACATTTCAAAGTCAGAGGAGAGCTACTTTTTTTGTTGTTTTTTTTTTTTTTTTTTTCTCTTTTCTGCCTTATAAAAAGGTATCAAGCAGTGGTGTTGGTGTAGCATGAAGGGCAAGTGCAAATGCTGAGCAGATCTAGAACTGTCCTCAGTGCTGCTCAACACTTGCACTCCGATTACCTTCCCAAAGCGCTAGCTGATTACATACACATATATAAAAACTAATGCAGACATTCCCTGTTTTCAATGTGAAAAAAGGGAAATGTAATCAAATAATTGTGCATTTGCCATAGGGTCCTTGGGAAAAGGAACCATAAAAATATTTTTTTTTAATAAAAGKTTTTTTTGTTGTTTTTTCTTTTTTGTTTCGTTTTTACCCTTAACTTAAGTAAAGAGCAAATATACATCTATAAGCAGAGCTCATATCCACTTTACTGAGAGCCTGGAAGTCCATATATCAAATTAATTCCCAATGGCATGTCAAGACACCGGAACAGCTCCCAGCTCCGAAGGGCCAGCGTTCCCCAAAGAGCTGCGGCTCTGGCTAACCCCGTTAGCCAGGAGATTCATCCGGGAGATTCATCCAGGCCTCGCCTGGCTCAGCCAACGCTGCGGCCGAGCGGCTCTCTGCTGAGCAGAGTCYCAGCCACACGGGCCTGCGCCTGGCTCCGGAGCAGCAGAGCTGGCAATCGGGCCAACAAACCTCAGTCCTGGCAATTTCAAGCCCTCTCAAGCTGTCACCATGAAAATATAAGCTCCAAACTTATATTTTCTCATTACTCAGAGGAAAGACCACTGATTCCAGCTACTGAGAAACAGCTTCCAGAGGAGGGCTGGGAAGAATTTCAGTGATAGAGAAACTAGCTGTGCAATAAGAAAGTGCATTTAAAGGTAGCTTAAAACCAGATTAAAGATCAAATCGCCACTCGACAGGAGGGAGGATCAAGCTCCAGCAGCCCCGCTCCTTGGGCTGGATGGGTTAACGTCCAGGCTCTCTCTGGCGAGTCCGAGGGCAGGAGAGAAGCATTCCCGTGCTCCCACAGGGACACAGTTCTCCCGGCGGGCCGTGCCCTCCTGCCCGGTTTGCTTCCGTGCGGCGTCAGTTCTGGACAGCTGTCATCGGAATTCATAGATAGGAGCACTGTGCTCAGGAACGTGAGTTAAATTCAATGACTGATACCTGCGATGAGGAGGAAGACAGAGGAGAGGATTAGGTGGAACTGGAGATTCTCCATGCGAGGCCTCCCTAGAACTAAGAGCTCCTGCCTGACAGGTCACCGACATCCAGATACTTGTTTTTYCTCTTCCCCTTTAGGGCCAAAGTCTCAAAGTTACTTAGGCACCTAACACTCGTGCACCAGTGCTGCCACTCAGCACTGCTTCACATTTCCATCCCCGCGCCCCTGGCAGCCCCTCTGTATCTGAGGCGGGCTGGCTATCATTTCAGGACATCTTTGGAAGTTTAATGACTTTCATGTTCCAAAGGTGTTGGGCACAGCTGAAAATTGTGCTCACATCTTTCAAAGCTCAGCTCAAGGGGCGTTGTTTGAGAGCCTCCCAGGAATCTTCCCTCCTCTTGAGGGCCTCTAGACTCCCTACAGATCTGCTTGCTGTGTGACAAATCCTGTTGTTCTGTACCCAACACAGAGCGAGGAGAGCTCTCCAGAGCTACCTGCCAGGCAGCTGCAAGAAGMAGCCAACCAATTACCTGTGACTGCTCCTTGTGCCTTGCAGGAGCATCCCAAGGCCCTGGGACTACACAGTCCCAGCCTAACAAGATTCCTGCCTGGAAGCTGCTCTGTGCTCCAGATGTCCCTTCTAGAGCAGGGGGTTGGACCAGATGATCTCTAGAGGTCCCTTCCAACGCCAGTTTYCACTCTGTGGTTCTGTGTGCACTACAATGGCCAGTCAATTGYAACAAGCAGCATTTTATACCACACCAAGGGGCTGCACTGGCTGCTGTGGCCAAAGGGAAGGTAGGTGCCCTCTGTTCCCACCCATGCTCGAGCTGCAGGGCTGAAGCTCTTCCCCCACACGGGGCTSTGGGGGCCCTCCCAAGGCTGCAGGGCAGTCACTGCTTGTTTGAGGAGTCACCCTTCGGGCTGCACAAGGAAGGAGGCCTCCTTACCATTCTGAACTCCTATGGTAGTAATAGCCCTCTATAGATGCTGCTGACTTCTGGAAACAGATGTAATAGAAACCAGCAAAGGAAGCACCACTGATGTCTTTGATAGTGTGATCTGGAACTAGGAACTGTTCCTGCACACAAAACACAGACTGCATTTGAAAAGGCTGGTCAAAAACTTCCCCTCCCACCCAGCCCCCCAGCAATGAGCCCTCCCAGGCTGAATATCAGCACACATTAAAGTAAAGGAGGTCCTGACTGAGCATTCCCTGCATTCGGAGCAGCCCAAATCACAGCTACCAGCATGGCTTTTCACTCCATGGCACTGCAGGCATCTTACAGGAGTAAGCAGAAGCGGTCTGAACGAGCACACAGGATCGGTTTCAGTTCAGCATGTGCCCCTTCCAAAGCAGGGGCCARCTGCAAAAATCAAAAATCAGGGCTGCCCAATTGCCCCCCTTGCTGCTGCACAAGACTCATGTGAAGAGGGAAGAAGTGATCCTGCTGAAGAGCTGGGAATCAGACCAGCCATCCTGAATTAAGTGCACAGGCCCCACAGAGGGACTAGAGACATCAATTCTCTCATCCTTTGGAGCACCACACTAAGCAAGATTTTCCTGTTGTGTTTTCAAGCATGACTGCAGCCCTTAAGGAYGCAATTAGCTGGCTAGACAAGAGTCACATTGGGACTGGTAAGCGCAGGAGGTTACAGGGTTCGTAGGGTAAGAACTTTCAATAAATCAGCAGTAGTTGTCGAAAGAGAGAAGCCTGCAGGCACCGTAAGTCTCTGTTGGTCACTCATAAGCAGTTTGTCAGGGAGGGAGAGTTTACCTTCCATCTCATGAAGACATAGTCACCATTTTTCAGATCCTCATAATCAAAGTCATCAGAGTTAAATGTTTTTGCATACTGGTAAAAAGCCTGGAACTTTCCCTAAAGCAACAGAGAGCAGAAAAAAAAAAGTGGAGGGGATAAGATGCTTATTCCAGAAGCAGAGCTCACCAGTACCAGTCTGCAGCTCCTTGGTGCACAGCTAACCACGCACTCCAGGACAAGCACTGGGGAGCACAGCCAGGCACCCACAGCCATAGTCTGCCCCGCTGGAGAAGGCCCTGACACCCCCGGGGTAAGAAATTTTGAGAGAAAAGTAACAAACACCAAAGTCTGGCAAACAGCAGAAAAGAGCAATGCCATCAGCGGGCTCCTGGGGCCCCGATCCAGGGCACAGCAGCTGACAAGCACTTTCCTGAAAAAGGGGCTGCAGCACCTTGGCCATGACACAGGCAGCAGCTCCCCCAGCCCCGTGTCAGACACCTCTCCCCTTCACTCCAGGCTTCAAAAGGGGAGGGGAAGAGTCTCCCAAAGGAGTTTTCCAGGCCCCTTCCAGGACCTTTTGCATGAGCAAGCTCTGCATATCACACCCGAGCCAGCTGCTGGGCGAGCACTGCTCCAGACCCGCAGCTGCTCCCCGTTCCCTCCCTCCCACTGCCAATTTACTTACCCAGTGTTTACGATCCACATCTTCATCGGCATCCCACTTGCGTGTTAGGAAAGGGTGCTTTTTACTGATTATTTCGCCTTCAAAGAAAGTGGTGAGGGTCGGGTACTCCTAGGAGGCAGGAGAGACAGAGGAGGGTTAAGAACATTTGTCACCTAGAGAAGCTCACACACACAGAGGTGCACAGACCCYGCAAAAAGCAGCATCTTGCTGCAAAATCACAAGGCAATCGGGGGCTGGTGCTCCAACTGACCTGTCCCATCCCAGCCCTTTATAAAGCCTGGCTTGTACAAACACCCCCAGCTGCCTTTTCTCCCTGCTCCCTAAGAAATCAGGAGGAGCAGGTGAGAGCTGCACAGCTGGAAAGCTCTCAGCTGGATGATCAGAGGTGACTGCTCAAAGGCAACCCCTCTCCTCAGCTGATATGCAGCCCTGTTTTCTACAACTACAAAGTTTGAAGGCTTCATCAGGCCACCACAGAAGGGGAGGAAAGGTGCTCTGAGCAACCCTCTTGCACTGGCAATGATTTAGGGGTTTGCACGCAGGAATATCAGGCTCAGCTGAGGGCAGGGAGCTTTTCCAAACGCTTTGTGGTAATTTCTGCAGAGACACACAGTGCACTGGGAGCCCAGACTTGCAAAGACYCAGGCAGAACGAGGACAGAACAGGCCAGTGCTCACTGTCCAACACGAGATCTTAGCGGATGATACGAAAGGAAGTACATAAAGATCCCACTTGTTTGTTTTGTTCTCTTTCAGCAGCACACCGCTCCCATAGAGGATCTAAAACAGACCTCAAGGTCACGTTCTGTTGCACTCRGAGCTAAAGGGATGACAGGTAAACTTTTCTCATTCTCTCAGGACTCCCACCAAGGTTTATTATATTGCCTAACCTTCCAGGAACAACACACTGAAGCTATTAGACCACCTAACAGTCAAGTTCACTGTATATTTGATCCCTCCAGCCTCTATTTCTGCTCTATTTCTCTGGTACTTCCTCCTCCTACCAGGAAAACCGGCAGCTTTTCAACATCTTTTCTTATTCTTTTACCATAAGCACTCACCTCCGTAAGGCCTTTAATCTTCAAGTATCCGCAGAGATAGGAGTTTTCCATGTCCACGTGCTAGGAGAGAGAGGGAATTCCCACCATAAGCACATGCAGGAAGGCACCCAAGGGATCCAAAGCCAACTGATCCGATTCTCATCCTGTGCTCCTGCAGCACTCRGCTCTGCTTGGACTGGTGCAGCTCACGCGCCCGTGCTCACACTGACAGCTCCCAGGTAGGGCTTGCTGCTATCCAGACTGCCCTTCAGGCAAGAGGATCTCCCAAGCTTTTCCCCCCAACACCCCCAGGGCAGTTTGCAAGGCAAGAACCGAGTTATTTAGGGAAGTGTGGACATCAACCATGGGAAAAGGGATCTTCCCCAGGTCTGATCCAAGGAAAACAACATTTCTCTGCAGCTGGGAGAGCCTCCTCTTCTCAACTAGCCCCCACAGAACAACAGCAACTTTAGTGCCCAGCTCCAGAGGGTCTCTGGCAGCAGGCAGCGTGCACTGAGGCCGGCCAGCCATGGGATGTCACCCCCAGAGCAAGCTGCACCCGGGACACTCGGGCTGTGGCCAAGCGGAGGGCCACATGCGGACACTGACAGGGGGTTCAAACTGCTGCCCTGGGCTCTCACGTTACTTCGCACCCCGACCCGCGGCTCGTCTTCCTCACTGCAGGAGTCCCCCAGCTTACAGGGCCCCCCAGGTCCCATGTCACCAAGCTGGGAATGAAGCGGTGACCCACAGGGCGTGTTATAGGGAATGCTTTATAGGAACTTCATAGGAACTCAGCTGCCTGTTCATCAGTGACCCGCACACCGTGAGCTGTACCCCAGCGACGGCACCAGCGACTACAACCAAAAACAACGCGCGGGAGGAGACGATGACCCAGCGAGGATGAGAGAAACCACCGCAGGCAACACCCTGGGTCCCCCAGCACAGCGGGGCCCAGCCGCTCCCCCAGGGCCCTTCYTGCTGCAGCCAAAGGCTCCCGGCTCCCTGCTCGGCCTGGGCACTGCACGGACGGTGAATCCCTGGCTCCTGGTCCAGCAGGGCCCGGTTCCGCCAGCCCAGGCCTGTATCCCGGCTGCTTTCCAGCCCGGCCTGAAATACAGGCTGCCCTGGCGGCGGTGACGCCTCGGACGCCACCCAGGCCGGGCCGGGCTCCTGCCCTCCCTCCGGGGGGCCACTGGAGCACGGACAGCCCCGGCCAGGGCTCAGGGGGAACAGGGGGGACAGACCCCAGGGCTCCCCTGCGGGTRGAGGGGAAACACATGGGGGAAAAGTTGGCGGGAGCCAAAACGATGAAGGAGGGAACGGACCTGAGATCAACAGGGCAAAACTGTGGGGGGACAAAGCTGAGATCAACAGGGCGGAGAAGCAGGTCTGAGAGCAAAGGGGCCTGGGGTGGGGGTGTGTGAGGGGGGCCGGGGAACAGGC